ACTTTATAATTTCATTTCATTCTTAATAATCCAAATGCTTATTGTAAGTTTAATGAGGTGCATTGATAATGACGTGTACGGACAAATCCCCCTACACGCTGTGTCTTTCTTAAATAGCGCAAATTACTCTGGCTGATTAATTCGCCACCAACCTAGCACACATTAAGGGTATCCTAAGTTCATGCGTGGCATGTACGTATTTCTTAGATCGGGATTAATTTAAAAAAGACATAATATTACATTTATTATAAATTATGTATGTAAATATTTTCAAGTTTTTGTATTTTGCACCTAATCATTATATTGTTGGATAGAAGTTTAAACGAATTTTTTTTCAAAATTGAGATGATTTTCTGATTTTTCAAATTGAGATTTTGCCATTTCTATGGTTAATAGGGGAATTTTATTAATAAATCCTCTTATACCACAATCGAGTTCTTGCGAATATTGTTGCTCGCCCGACGAAATCTTATAAAGTGTAATCGAATGAAATTTTCTAACGTAACCGAATTATTCGTTTTTATTAATTCTCGATAATATCGTTTTATATTCGAATTAAATCGTTAATGTCCGTAATATATATTTTTTTAAACACAACGCTTGTCATTAGATTCTACCAAAATTGTGAGCGATAATAATATAAAAAAGCGGAGCATGATAAATAATTCGATTTTTTTAAGGCTTTATGGAATTTCGATCCTTAGTTGTATTTGTATCTCACAATACACCCTATATGACAATAATGACCTGGATTATTTTCATATGGGCATGAAGATGATGTGGTAGAGGTAGAGATGTCCTCTTGAGACAAATCACGAAACAACTCACGATCATTAGCAACGAGCTTTATTTCCTTTTGAGATAGATCACGTAACAATTCATAAAATTCATGATTGTTAGCAACGAGCTTTATTTCCTCATGAGATAAATCAGGACATAATTCATATAATTCATGTTCATTAGCAACGGGTTTTATTGCCTTTTGAGATAAATCAGGTAGCAATTCATAAAATTCATGATCATTAGCGATGAGCTTTATTCCCTCCTGAGATAAATCAGGACATAATTCATAAAAGTCATGATTATTAACGATGGGCTTTATTCCCTCCTGAGATAAATCAGGACATAATTTATATAATTCATGTTCATTTGCAACGAGCTCCTGAGATAAACTAGGAAACAACTTAGGATCATTACTGGAAGGAGATGTAAGGAGTTTTTCATTATCTGGAGATTCTTCCTTGGTTCTGGGTTTGGGCCCACGTCTTTCTTGGTGAACAGGATAAGTACATTCAGCATTACGCTTTATGCATCCATTGCACTTGGTAGATTGATTGAGGTGAGTTTCCTTTTTGCATCGGATTTTTAAGCGTCTGCATAAATCACATGCAGTAGTTACGTTGTATCTGTATGATGTTGATGGCATTTTGAGATTTCTACAATTAATGTTTCGTAAATAATAAATAACTGGCTCTCAAAATTATATTTGAAAGTTTGAAGGCTTGATTATTTATGCTTTTTATAAAGTTTTAGAACAAATATCGGGAGAATTTGGTGTTGTTCTCTAATAAAATATATTCTTTTAAATTAACCCACTCGCTTAGTCTCTTATTGAGGCATGGTTAATTAATTCTTTGTTGTTGGGTTTATTGACTGTTTTGTACTGTAGTCAAAGAAGCTAAAATAAACATCAAAATCGAATCCATTAATTTATTAAATTTAGAATTTAATCAATGATTCCAGGTACGCATTATGTTTATTAAATTTTTGTAATCCAAATTATTGATTTTTTCTTTTTAAGAAATTTTAATCTCACAAAACGACATCATATATATGGAAATTCAAAAGGCTAAGAGGCTAAACAACTGTATTACAAAATTTTTATTTCCTAATATAATTTCCGTTATATATGTGATTTATATTTCTTTTATATTCGCTAACGTACCCATTGATAGACAAGATAAATGCAATGTGGGCAAAGTTAATATACTACAAGGTTTTGTGTATATATATTTTGCAGAATCTTGGATATTTTAATACGCAGTAAGTCCATAGTA